TGACTTGGTTGACACTTTTCATCGTATCCCAAATTGCGTAGTATAACGATGCTCATGATGTTGATGACTGGATTGTCGTGTCCAGACTCGATTATGTACATACCACCGCAATATAGCTGGGATATTGCTGAGTGCGGCGTAAAACTAAACTCACCCACTACTACCACACCCCCTACTACTACACAGGTATCTGTTCTACAAAGCGGTCCAAGCCCTACAATCTTGTAAGTGTATGCTAAAGTATGGGAATGAGATCACCTTCGCATAGACCAACATCTAGTCACTGAAATGAACATATTTTACAGAAGAAAATGTTTTTCTATGTTATACTGATAGAATATAATAAAAGGGGGCCTATGGATGATTTTCAGAAACTGAATTTGTAGTAATCCAGACTTGTTACATAATCCAGACCTTTGCTTTCCGATCGTTTTGTGGGACAGGACCCCAATAATAAAAGACAGGCAAACTTAGATTGTTTGTTCTATATTTTATAATTTCTTCTTATACAGAACTTTGGTCACTGCGACCTCATGGATTATGCCTTTCGTGATTGTAAGTGTGATAACGCGACCTAAACATATAGATAGTACCTATGTAGATACTATAGATATGGTTATCATGTATGTCATGTATGAACGATGCTGAAGAGTGTATAAACTGACATATACAACATACGGTTGCTATCGACAGTGAGATAATAACATGATAAGGTGAAACAGGAGATTACCGTAGTTGCCCACCAGTACAGACTTACATTGGTTTAGCCCACCGAGATATAATGCCGCAGTTTAACATGAACCCCATCAATGTAAACTGTTTCGTTTGGAACAACGTCTGATTAACCAGGTTTCATTGTTTATGACTTTGGGTGCCTCCTCTGAACAGTGTGATGAGAATTCTGTGTTAGCCCAATCTCCCAAAACCTGTACTGGTCCACCAAAACATGCCACCTGATATACAGGTAAGTAACTTGGTTTATTGAATAGCATGGCAACCTGACCACGCTGATAGTTGTTCATAATATCATCCACCAGGTCCTATCAATGTCAATCATCGCCGTCATATAATTTGAATAAACCCATGAAGAATTGGTCTTCTGTAACCCATGCTTGTCGTAAGAGGCGACTAACAGGATGGGGTGGTCAGGCTCATAGACTTGGTTGACATATATCATCATATCCCAATTTTGTATATTGATGCTCATGCTGTTGATCACTGGATTGTCCAGCGCAGACTCGATTATTTACAGACAGCCGCCATATAGTTGGAATATTGCTGAGTTTGTGTAAACCAAACTCACTCACCACTATAATTTGAGTATAACTGAAGGAAGTGTTCAACAACAAAGACAAACAACCTATCCTATAATGTTGGTATTTCTCCACAGTCTGTATCGATACTCAAGACGTGTCTGGGAGGTAACGCCTCCATGATCCCAGCTACCACCAGTGCACCCAGGGAATAACATCTGCCTTCTTCGTCGCTTATCTCCAGGGCTTCTCCTAAACCATCAACTACGTCATCGACCAGACAAAGATACCACTACTTTGATGAGTTTAAATATAACATGTCAGTGCCATCCTATCAACACTGGCATCTACCATAGGGCAGACTGCTTCTTATCCACTTTGTCTTTCCAAAACATGCATTTCAAGTCAAAAAACACAAGATAACAAAATATGACATTGTCTATTGATGTATATATGAATGTGTATACTGTATTCATTAAGAAAGTCTTTTTGTAAATATATACATACACTATTGATCTGCATAAGTGTTTTAGCGTATATTTTCCACTTGTGGGTAATTTTTGTATCCTGAAAAAGGGTAACATTTATCAAAAATGGTTCATGAATATGTCACTGATACAGTTGGAATAATGGTGGAGGCACTCACTGAAAAGAGTGTGTGTGAGTGAGTGAGTGGGCGAGCCGTCTAAAGCGCCAGGTTCATGATCCAGTAAGCTCAAGGTGCCGGGATCGAGCACACCTGTGACCGGGCGGATACAGCAGCGTGCAATAAAACTGGACAAAGTACTGTGACTATGTGTCCCAGTCAACCCAGTTGTTAATGGGTACCTCGGTAGGATGGGAAAAGAACATTACCTCTGCGTGACTAGTGATCCCCAAGGGACTTGAGATTGAAAATACGATGTGCCGTTGAGATTGACATCCAATGGTCAAGGGAAATACAACTTCGGTAGCGCCTTAGAGTAATATAGAAGTAGTTCAAAAATAGGGCACTATAGAAATGTGGAATATAATAATAATATAATAATATTATTTTATATCAAAACATTTTCATCAGATGCAATGATGAAAAACAAGTCATTTAATGATTGAAAGTTATGTAAGAGAGTTCTCTATTACTCAACTTCATAAAAGGTATTACATTATGAATTACCTGAGTTCATTATCTAATCTTCTTTGACTGACATGGCAATGTCCTTTTTTCAATTTACTTTACAATTCATTACTTAGACTTCCTTAACGGAATGGCAATGTCCTTTTCCAGTTAATTTACAACAGTTCTCTGATTGCATCATCCATCGCTGATCTGTTCTGCTGTTATTGATTCAATGGGCTAGTTGAATAATTTCCCTGAAACATAGATCGTCTTGAAACTTTTTTCATGGCAACAGTTTTCCAGTTCCATGGATTCTTGATGTCGTATCACAGCCAAAGACAAGAATGTATAAACAAGTTCTGACAAGCGTCTTCTCCATGCTTCTTCTTGGTTTCGCTGATACTCCAAACTGGAATTCTTTTCAAAGAACTTTTCTTGGGGGTTGACAGCACGAAGATATCATGCGATTCCAGTAGATCCGTGTCGTCCCCTTTGACAACTGTTGATACATGCCAATGAAACTGCTGTTTGAACCATCACAACATCAGCATCACCAGTGGTCTGAACTGTGTCACATCCTTCAGCTTGGTGATAGGAACACATCATGACGAACTGTTCTTTGTTCTGAACAGTGATGAGGATGAATCTTTCTTTGATTGTAAGATCAGACTGTTATCAAATTTAACTGTTTGTCTGACAAGTCCACCAGTCCGCCTCATTTGTGTTGTATACTTTCTCGATGAACTTAAGTATCCATCGAACACAACAGTAGCTCTTTCATTGTGTATTTTGACATATGTGCAGTACATGATGCACAACTCAGCATAGGATTTTCCACGTGGCCAAGGTAGAGTATGAAGCAAAGCCCTTCCATCGAGAACATAAACAGCATCAGAAGCTGGACCAGGGGAAAAACCAGCATCCAATGTTGATATGAATGAAACCAGGGCAATTTTGTTTGCTTCCTAGCGGCAATCAGAAACCGTTGAAACACTAAAACTTGACCAATGTTGCAGATTTCTTCTTATTTCTCATTCATTTGTACAACTTGATCTTCCTTTTTGAGACACGTGGAGGTTTCTGGTTAGAATATTGATTTTCAGTAACCCATGCTTGTCGTAAGAGGCTTGTAACGGGATCGGGTGGTCAGCCTCGGTTGACATATGTCATCGGTTCCCAATTACGCAGATCGATGATCATGCTTTTGATCACTGGATTGTCTGGTCCAGACTCGACTATTTACAGACAGCCGCCATATAGCAAAAATAGTGCTGAGTGCGGCGTAAAACTAAACTCACTCATTCCTTTTTGAATTTGAAATCGCCAGTGGTTGTGTTTGTCATAGAGTCCAAAATAGAGCTACCAACACAACATGCATCATCTGCATTCACAGTTGCACTCTATATGCAGTGTTTCTTGAAGGAAATGGGGTAGTTTCATGCCCACATTCTTGTCTCTCTCCTGTCTTGCATTGGACATGTCCTTGTGTAGTTCAGAGTTTCTGTTTCTACTACTTGTAACATCACCCATGGCATTGCTGACTTCCATGCATGATGGCATTGACATAAGCCTTTGCGTTTCAGACATGCCTGCCCCCCTTGTATGTCCTCCGTTTGTCGTAATGCTCCGCGATGAGCACCTGTTCAATCACAAGATCATTTTAAGGTCCTCCCAATAGCGATCGGAACGGCATATAACATGATGACCTGAGTTTTAAGGTCTTGGGATGTGTTCCTTGCAGGAAGTCATCAACTGAACGTACAACTGAACTGATTTGGTATACAAGTTCTGACAATAGACTTCCCATTTCCCTTATGTTTCAGCTTAAATGAAATTCCGCAAGATATCTAGCATGTTCATATACTGGATCCAAAGTTTCGCTGTCCTCATATTGCTCAGTGCATCTTTTTCTTGATTTAACTGATGGTGAATGTTCTTTATGTGTTTGAACAAGATATTTCACCAACAGTCAAGGATTCACTCACCAGCTCATTGTACAGCACTGCCGCCATGTTGAGATCGTCACCATCGCTGTTTTGAAGGGAGTGGCAAGGTCAGCTTCATCAGAAGGCTTACAAAACCTAGGAAGGTTCACGTTAAAAGCTCTTGATACCAACAGTGCACTGAGAGCCGTGTCTACAAGAAAGTGAGCTCGAATTGCTCTGGCAACAGCTTTCCCTGTTGGTATGTAACTAATTGTGTTACTGGCATATATCACTACCAGAAGTTCAAATAGACCCTATCCAGACATGATATTTCGAATCCATCACAAAAGGTGACGTTCTTCAAATCCCTTGATGAAGGCTCACTGGAAATTTTCATTCAAGCTTTCCGCCACAGAGGCTAATCAAAAGTGACGATTGGTGTTACATTGTTTTTCATGGCTTGTGTGGTGATGTAAACATGTTTTTTTTCTAAAATCATCAGCAGTTTCATTTCACACTAAACTAAATCTTCATAATATGGCTGAAATACGGCGTAAAGCACAATTCACTCATCAACAAACGACCATTATTAAGTCTGGTCACGAGTATATTACTGAATGCACTGCAGGCCTGTATGTCGACCACGGTGATCCATACAAATCCGGCACGTTGACAACGGGGAAAGTCGTCGTCATCGTCCTCGAAGACGAGACCCCTGCATGCCGTCGCCTACTACCCTAACGTCACCGGGGACTACGGCGTTGTCTTCTTTATCCCGGGACTGGACGGTGTCATTCTCAGCGCGTTCTACTCCGAGTATCTCACTGCAATAGCTCAGCATGGGTAGGTCAAGTCAGTCTCGAAACTCTGTATTAAACTCAGCATGGGCAGGTGATACCACATACGTCAAAACCATAGCTCAGCATGGGTAGGTCAAGACCAACTCGAATCTCTGTAGCTCAACATGGGTAGGTGATACCACATACGTGAACACCATAGCTCAGCATTGGTAGGTCAAGTCCATCTCGAAACTCTGTAGCTCAGCATGGGTTGGTGATACCACGTACGTGAACACCATTATTCAGCATGGGTAGGTCAAGTACACCTCGAAACTCTGTAGCTCAGGATGGCAGGTGACACCACGTACGTGAACACCATAGCTCAGCATGGGTTGGTGAAGTCCACCTCGAAACTCTGTAGCTCAGCAAGGGTTGGTGATACCACATACGTTAACACCATAGCTCAGCATGGGTAGGTCAAGTCCACCTCGAAACTCTGTAGCTCAGCATGGGTAGGTGATACCACATACGTGAACACCATTGTTCAGCATGGGTTGGTCAAGTCCACCTCGAAACTCTGTAGCTCAGCAAGGGTTGGTGATACCACGTACGTGAACACCATTGTTCAGCATGGGTTCGTCAAGTCCACCTCGAAACTCTGTAGCTTAGCATGGCAGGTGACACCACGTACGTGAACACCATAGCTCAGCATGGGTTGGTGAAGTCCACCTCGAAACTCTGTAGCTCAGCAAGGGTTGGAGATACCACATACGTCAACATCATTGCTCAGCATGGGTTGGTGAAGTCCGTCTCGAAACTCTGTAGCTCAGTAAGGGTTGGTGATACCACATACGTTAACACCATAGCTCAACATGGGTAGGTCAAGTCGCTCAGCATGGGTTGGTGATACCACATACGTGAACACCATTGTTCAGCATGGGTTGGTCAAGTCCACCTCGAAACTCTGTAGCTCAGCATGGCAGGTGATACCACGTACGTGAACACCATAGCTCAGCATGGGTTGGTGAAGACCAACTCGAAACTCTGTAGCTCAGCATGGGTTGGTGATACCACATACGTTAACACCATAGCTCAGCATGGGTTGGTCAAGTCCAACTCGAAACTCTGTAGCTCAGCAAGGGTTGGTGATACCACATACGTTAACACCATAGCTCAGCATGGGTAGGTCAAGTCCACCTCGAAACTCTGTAGCTCAACAAGGGTTGGTGATACCACGTACGTCAACATCATTGCTCAGCATGGGTTGGTGAAGTCCAACGCCTAAACTCTCTAACTGAGTATGGATAGGTGAAATGAAGTATCTCAAAACTGCATAGCAAAGTGGATAGGTGCTGTCAGGTATCTGAATACTGTACCTCAACATGGGTAGGTGATATCAAATGTCTCAACTAGGACTGTTAGGGGATATCAATTATCTCAACTCTTAAGCTCAACATAGGAGAACTCTACTATCGTAACACTGTACCTTAACTTAGGCTGTGATATCCAGTACCTTAGTTATGTTGCTCAACATGGGTCAAGACGTGATAAGGTAATTCTACGACGATGTTGTGTTGTCCATAGTCGGTTTACTCTTGACTATTGATGGAGATGGACCTCCTATGTGTGTCACTTGCGATGAAGCGTTCACCATCATATGGTGGCTGATTAGGTCCATCGCTTTCTCGCCTTCAAATGCGGAGGCGAGAAAGCGAGAAAGCGATAACATGAGACGAGAAAGGGATAACACGAGACGAGAAAGCGATAGCACGAGAAAAGCGATGGCCCTAATCAGCCACCATACCATCAAGCATATACTGCTTGTCTGTGTTGACGTTTCAAATGCAAGGGATTCACATTACCAAGCGATAAATCTGAAAGATTTGTTTTCCCGCTTGAGCGGGCATCTCATTGTGAACTACCTAAGGGAAGTTGACCTGTATCATAAATTGTAACTATGTAATGTGAATGACGGATTGCATGTTTTTTTCTAAAAAATTGTGCTATGACGTTGTCTGTTGGCCAATAATAATGCCATGAATAAATATGTTATTTTTAAAAACCCAACTCCTTTAAGCTTTGTACTTAAAATGACCATGTGTACAGACTTGGTCTCGTCGCTATATGGCTGAAGTAATGCCGATGTGACGTCACACTCAACTCAACTCAGTATGGGTAGGTGTTGTTGAGTATCAACTTGAGTAGGTAATATTCAATATGTCAACTACGACATCCCTGAGTTATCCTCAGAACGTCGTAATTTTGGAATTGTTTCAATATTCTATTCCCCAATGTTTGTAGATTCGTCGTGGTCGCTAGTGACTACATTTTTCCTGCGCTTGATAACCCGTCCGGTTACCACATGAACAAAGAGAAACTTGGCTCCATCGCTGACAAGTACATGGAGCAGTTTTACTGGGTAAGTATCAGTCTGGTCGTCGTCTGCTCGTGCCATTTCTGCCAGGGGAGCAGTGGCTCCATATTGTATCCATTGCAACAAGGATTGGTTTCACAGATTGAATCGAACCCGTGTCTTCGGCGAACCCACTGTCCGCTAGACATGGCATTCTAGCGGTAACATCACAGTTAACAAATGGGGCGGTGGGGTAGTTCAGTGGTTGAAGGGTTCGCTCCTCACTCTGACAACCAAGTTCGATTCCCCACATGGGTACATTGTGTGAAGCCCATTCCTGATGTCCCCCGCCGTGATATTGCTAAAAGCGGCATAAAACCCAACTCATTCACTCACTCAGTGAACAAATCAACACAGCCTATAGGGGCATCCTTCATGCTGTCAGGTTACATTGGGATCGGGTAGTCAGACTCGCTGACTTGGTTGATGCAGGTTATTATATTCCAGTTACGTAGATCGATGATCATTATATCAATCACTACATTGCCTATTCCAGACTCGACAAATTAAAACAGCATGGTAAAAATCCTATCCGGGTTAGAATTAGGGCCGTGGTACAAAGCAACCTTAGCGCTTCGCCAGTCGTAAGTCTATGTTAAGTCATGGAGTTACGATCACCTTAGCGCAAAGATCGTTTTGTACAACGGCACCCTGATCTTTAGCAACCCATGTTTGTCGTTAATGATATCAATCACTGGATTATCCGGTCCAGATTCATTCACTTAAGGACGCTGCCATGCGCAAGGTTAACACGTCTCTCAACTTCAATTTGAAAGCACGGCAGGGCTGCAATCAACATTAGATTGTCGTAAAAGCAACCAAGATGGATCTGTTGTGTGGCTGGTGACTTGGTTAACTCCGCATTTCTTATCGATGGGGAGGTGGGGTTGCCTAGTGGTTAAAGCATTCGCTCGTCACGCCGAAGGCCCGGGTTCGAATCCCCCCATGGGTATAATGTGTGAAGCTCATTTCTGGTGTCCCTCGTCCTGATATTGCTGAAATATTGCTAAAAGCGGCATAAAACCATACTCACCCACTCTTATTGCAAGTCGTTCGATTGATTACAGGCCACGGTGAGAGTGTGAACGATACAAATTATGCTAAATGAAACGCCCGTCAGCAATACTGCGCATATACTTTCAGCTGAAGTCCAACCTGCAGAGGTTAATCCAAGCAGTAACCCCGGGCGTGAATAGCAGTTGGGACCACGTCGCGCTTCTCAGTCACTCTGCCGGGGCCGACGCTATGTTGAAGATGACGGAGAGAAACCATACCTTGTTCCAGGTACGGCATTTATGTCTAAACTATGGTATCCTAGAAGGGCCATTGTCGCACTTTGCTTAGTTTTGACACTGTTTGCTTGTTTTTGCAACTAGGTGACAGCGCGATAATGTCCCTTTTAGAACTTCATGTACCAAACGGCTGTTGGCGTTTGTGGCTGAGTTTCTTCCCTTCGTGGAACAACAACATCAGGTTACATCGGGATCGGGTGGTCAGGCTCGCTGATTTGGTTGATGCATGTTATTTTATTCCAGTTGCGTATAGATCGATGTGCATGATGTCAATCATTAGATGGCCTTTTCCAGACTCGACAAATTAAAACACCAAGGTAAAAGCCCTAATGGACCCGTGAAGATCTTGCGAAACTGAACTGACAAAACCTAGTTTTGACACGTTTTGCTAGTTTTTGTGAGGACGACGGTATGGCAACGCATCAATGCCCTTTTAGGATTCCAATACAAAGTCGGACTACATATAAAACACCATGACTGACTTAACTAATGCAAATCCTCGTATTTCAATTCGGTAGATAGATGCTAGTGATATCAATCACGGGATTGTCTGGTCCAAACTCGATTATTAACAAACCGACCTCATATAGATAGAATAGTGCAGGGTGCAGCGTGAAACAACAAATATCACTTAAATATGTTCTAGTGTTGCTTGTTTGGTTGTAATTGTTCGGTGTGAACCATTGTTTCAGGCTGTCGTGTTTTGGGAACCCTTCAGTTATCAGTTCACGACAAAGACCAACTACTCCCTCCCAGCTCTCATCACGGGGACGCAGCTGTCCACGAAGAGGACGATCATCGTCCCATGCATCATCCCTGGTTTCGGCTACATCCGCTTCTACGACATGTGGGGGGAACCTCCTAAAGTGCTCGTGGACGCCAAGGTGAATAAGCTCAACTTACCTTCACTTTAATAGATGCTGCCACTAACGCCACATCTCTATCTACTGCTGCTCCTACTACCGTACCTCCTAATGCTGCTACTACCACAGCCCTTACTACTACACGGGTGACCCATGAAGATACGAGTTAAAAGTGGTCTCCAGTAACCCATGCTTGTCATAAGAGGCGACTAACGGGATCGAGTGGTCAGACTCGCTGACTTGGTTGACACATTTCATCGTATCCCAAATTGCGTAGTATAACGATGCTCATGATGTTGATGACTGGATTGTCGTGTCCAAGCTCGATTATTTACAGACCACCGCCATATAGCTGGGATATTGCTGAGTGCGGCGTAAAACTAAACTCACTCACTACTACCACACACCCTACTACTACACAGGTATATGTTCTACAAAGCGGTCCAAGCCCTACGACCTTGTAAGTGTATGCTAAAGTATGGGAATTAGATCACCTTCGCATAGACCAACATCTAGTCACTGAAATGAACATATTTTACAGAAGAAAATGTTTTTCTATGTTATACTGATAGAATATAATAAAAGGGGGCCTATCGATGATTTTCAGAAACTGAATCTTACATTGGTTTAGCCCACCGAAATATAATGCTGCAGTTTAACATGAACCCCATCAATGTAAACTGTTTCGTTTGGAACAACGTCTGGATTAACCAGGTTTCATTGTTTATGAGTTTGGGTGCCTCCTCTGGAACAGTGTCATGGGAATTCTGTGTTAGACCAATCTCCCAAAACCTGTACTGGTCCACCAAAACATGCCACCTGATATACAGGGGTAACTTGGTTTACTGAATAGTATGGCAACCTTGCCACGCTGATAGTTGTTCATAATATCAACCACCAGGTCCAATCAATGTCAATCAGCGCCGTCATATAATTTGAATAAACCCATGAAGAATTGGTCTTCTGTAACCCATGCTTGTCGTAAGAGGCGACTAACAGGATGGGGTGGTCAGGCTCATAGACTTGGTTGACATATATCATCATATCCCAATTTTGTATATTGATGCTCATGCTGTTGATCACTGGATTGTCCAGCGCAGACTCGATTATTTACAGACAGCCACCATATAGCTGGAATATTGCTGAGTTTGTGTAAAACTAAACTCACTCCCTCACTATAATTTGAGTATAACTGAAGGAAGTGTTCAACAACAAAGACAAACAACCTATCCTATAATGTTGGTATTTCTCCACAGTCTGTATCGATACCAAGACGTGTCTGGGAGGTAACGCCTCCATGATCCCAGCTTACCACCAGTACACCCAGGGAATAACATCTGCCTTCCTCATCGTTTATATCCAGGGCTTCTCCCAAACCATCAACTACGTCATCGACCAGACAAAGATACCACTACCTCTTGATGAGTTTAAATATAACATGTCAGCGCCATCCTTTAAACACTGGCCTCTACCATAGGGCAGACTGCTTTTTATCCCCTTTGTCCTGCATTTCAAGTGAGAAAACTTGACAAGATAAGAAAATAAGACATTGTCTATTGATGTATATATGAATGTGTATACTGTGTTCATTTAGAAAGTCTTTTTGTAAATATATACTATTGATCACTATTGATCTACATAAGTGTTTTAGCGTATATTTTCCACTTGGGGTCAATTTTTGTATCCTGACAGAGGGTAACATTTATTAAAAATGGTTCATGATTATGTCACTGACACAGGTGGAATAATGGTGAAAGCACTCACTGAAAAGAGTGTGTGTGAGTGAGTGAGTGAGAGTGAATGAGTGTTTAGTTTTATGCGGCTTTTAGCAATATTCCTACAATATCATATGGAGGACACCAGGAATGGGCTTCACACATTGTACCCATGTGGGGAATCAAACCTGGGTCTTTGGCGTGAAGAGCGAACTCTTTAACCACTGGGCTACCCCACCGCCGCTCTCACTGAAAACAAGAAGCAGAGTGATGGTGTAGTTGTTTTATTGACTATCTTTCCTTACTATCAGAGTAAGCATCATTACAATTATGCAGACAATTACAGAGTGATCACTTCAGCATCACAGCAACATGGCCAGGCATATGGTCACTTGAACCATGTATGCTGAGACTGAACATGGATTGTATTCTTTCTGACATGACAGACTAATAAATCAACACATTGCCATTGCAAATCCAGAATACAACTACCCAGATGCTTGAATATACATTTTCTAAAATTTATCATGCACTACATAGGTCGTCTGGGTGCAGAGAAGCACTGCAGCTATCGCAAAGTAGTCTTACAGCATAGGAGTGATAGCACTATTATTACTTTCTGCATGTAGGTCCTATGAGGCAAGCACAACAGTTTATCCTGAAAATACAGGCACCTGTTTAAAGGGTTCTTTCATTCGACTTAAGATCTGGGTTCACTCCTCACATAGGTAAATCATACGAAGACTATTCTTGGTGTCCCCTAGTTCTTGAAAATTTCTAAAACCATTATTGCTCTACAGTTCAAATAACAGAATTTTCAAGTGTTTTGAACCTCTTTTCATATTCCCACTAACTCACTAACAGGTAACATTAGTGTGTCAAACTTAAATGGAACAATTTTCATAAATATCCCGGATCTATTCGAAAATGCAGGAAGTTCGGAAGTTGGCTATGAAGTTACGTCACCACTCTCATCCCTCCTATAGCTAACAAAGCACAGAATGTCTCTCGCTCACTAAAGCTTTTTGATTGGATAGCTATTTTCATCATTGTGCTGTCCGCCTGTCAGTCTGGTATTTCAGCTTATT